CCACTACAACAACAATTACAGCATAATGGCAATTGGATCTTTAGTCCTCAAATGTTTCAAACACCACTAATTTCAATTCTATATAATTCTTATCAAACATTACCTCAAATTCCTTTACAACCTTCAGCTACTCAATCTAATCTATATAACTTTTTTGCCTTACCTTCTATGGCAGAATTTTTAAAAGATGTAGATAAAAAGGAGGGAACTAGTCATTATTATCAAGATTTTTTGGAAAATTTTGAAAAACAAAAAATTCTAGTAAAGCATTTACAAAGATTAACAGATAAAGAATTCGAGTAATGTAAAGTTGATACTATTGGTGCACGACAAACACTACGTGAATATGTAGCAAAATATCAAACATCGAATTAGAAAAAATTAATAGAATTTAATCTTGCTTAAAAATGAAAAAGATGCGTATAAAAAATTCTTATAAATTTGAAGACAAATAATGCTACTTATCATTTCAATTAAAAATTGCTACTTTTATTGTATTAGAGTTAAAAATAATGAACAAATAGTGCTTACTCAATATATAATAAAGAATTACTATATAATTACTATATAGTATATACTACTCGAATTTGAAATATATATATATGTTTATAAATTGTCTATTGTTAAAATTATATTCATTTTTCTATATAAATGTTTAGTATTCACCTTTTTATTTTCTATCTATTTTGTATAATTTGTATATGCATTTTATCTGTATAATATATTTTAGTTAATTGGTGCAATCTAATGCTAGTTACTAAACTATAAGTTTTATTTGTATCCAGAATCTCCAAAACATTTTTTTGCCATATCTGATGTGATTTGTGCACATGCAACCAATAATAGATATTTTGAATCATATGAATTTTCAATGAAGTAACGATATCGTTGTAAATATTTTTTGATCCAAGAAAATATTGTCTCAATTGAATTGAGATCAGGTGAATAGGGGGGAAGAAACTCAATCCGTACACCAAAAGCATGTAAGTATTCATACAGTTCATCATTATGATGAATTCGTGTATTATCTAATACTAAAATACTATTAGAATGAGGATATGGATTCATTTGAGGTAACTACATGTAAATAAAATATTAGTATCTTCATAGCAATATAAGTTTAGAACTAATTTACTATAATACATACAACTTGATTTATAATGAATTCCTTAAATCTAGACTTTGTAAAACTACCTTTAACAATATCAATAGCAATTATTCCCTGCAAAGTTAGAGCAGGACAAATTGAATATCTTACTCCACGTATAAATACAACCTTTTTTTTTGCTAAAGTATTTATTTGGGAATATCCATAGCCTCATGATATAGACCGCTCATCTTTAGAGGATTCATCTATAAACACAAATTGATCTGATCGATATTGTGCACCAATGCGTGCCATAAAAGCACTTCGAACAATCTCATTACATTCTTTTGCTTCTTTATGAAGCTAATTAAAATCATTGTATTAGATAAATACTTCATAAGGGTCAAAATTTATATATTTTATAATAACTAAAACTAAAAAACAGTGGGATTATATCGAGAGTGACTAACTTATACATGTAGCCAAAATTATTCAAAAATAATTATGATTAAACAATAAGAGAACTGATACTTATCAGCTGAATATAACCCTCAGAGTCTGTCATTTGACACAATTGTTTGACAATTACAAGTTCTAAAATAATCAATCGTTTAACAATTACAAAGTTCTAAAGTAAATAATTTTAGAACTTGTAATTGTCAAACAATTGTATCAAATAACAGACTCTGAAAAGGCTATATTCAACTGATAAATGTCAGTTTTCTAATAGTTTCGACTCAAGCTAAAATAATTTTAATTACAAGTATAAACTAACCTTTTTTCGAGTAATACCGCAGTATGCAAGTGATCTCCATAATGTTGGAATTGATACTGACTTTCCAGTGCATCTCTCCATTTCTCCAACAAGCTCATCCAAAAACCAATCAACTTTATCTCTAACAATTTGTTGCAATATCTAAATTATATAAGTATAGCGATATATAAATTAAATACAAGTAATATATATTTAATGCTAAAATAAAATATTTACATACGTTCATATCATTCCTATCAAAGGTCTTTCGTGGCCCTGGAACTCGGCGCCATGGATGGATAACTGAACCCCATTTTTGGTATATTCTCAAAGTTTTATTGACTAATGATTTACTTACATATAAAAGGGATGTGATTTCTCTTCGTGAATAACCATCGTAATACAAATAGACTATGCGCCATTTAAGATCTTCGCTAAAGGAATGTGGCATCTAGAATTGGGCTTTAATAAGATATTAGATTAACAATAAAAAATTATTATAATTCGTTAATAATAGATATTATCTAGAACATTATGCAACTAATACGTATTACTATAAAATTTTGTTGTTACGTATACATGAAATTTTTGATAAATATGTCATATTAGTAATTTATTATTGATATTATCAATTTATTTGATATCAGTTTATTATATTGTTAAATAAATAATTTTGGTACTTATTACTACGTAACTCAGTATAAATTATGATAATAACTTATTAAACTATTATATAATACATATTTATTAATTTATTATAAAACAATTTTAATTTTAACACTAGTAGCATCCAATAATATATATTGATGTTGAAGAAATTTTTTAAAAAAAATCTAGAAATTTTCATAATCATTTGGTTAACCAAAACAATATCTAGCACATTAATGGATGTTATGCTAAAGAATCGGAATTTGACAAGGAATTTTTGGAATTGTAACTTTTTAAGTATCAATTTTTAAAAAAATAAAGATTATAAGAGAATTTTACAGATTTCCATGTGATTGTTGATCATCTGCTGATCACAGTAATTTGAAAAGCACGATAAATTTTTTTTGATTAGAGTTAAGTTGCATTAGTATTCTAGGTTATGATTTTTACAGTGATAATCAGTAAACAACACAACCATTTTTTAAAATATGGTGAAGATATGTGTATAATATTGACAATTCATGAAATAGTTAATTACAGTAAGTAAGGGTATTTTCAATGTAATATACAACCTAAAATTTTAAATATTTAAACTAATCTTATTAAAAACTTTTTTAGTATTTCTTTTGTTTCTAGATCAAAATTATTCTTTTTAAGATTCAAATAAGTCAGGGTGGTGTTTTCGCAAAGTGCATCTGCTAATGCTTTTCCTTCCTCTGATCCAAATTTATTATAACGAAGATTCAAAGAAGTCAATGTAGTGTTTTTGCAAAGCGCATCTGCTAATGCTCTTCCTCCCTCTGATCCAAGCTCATTACTACTAAGATTCAACGAAGTAAGAGTAGTGTTCTTACTAAGTGCATCTGCTAATGCTTTTCCTCCCTCTGAGCCAAGTTCATTAGCATAAAGTTCCAAAGAAGTCAGAGTAGTATTCTTGCAAAGTACATATGTCAATGCTTTTCCTCCCTCTGCTCCAAGTTTATTTCTACCAATATCCAAAGAAGTCAGGGTGGTGTTTTCGCAAAGTGTATATGCCAATGCCTTTCCTCCCTCTGATCCAAATTTATTATAACGAAGATTCAAAGAAGTCAGAGTATTATTCTTGTCAAGTACATCTGCTAATGCCTTTCCTCCCACTAATCCAAGGTTATTAAAACCAAGATCCAAAGAAGT